ATAAGTAAACATACATAAGTGCAAAAGCTTAATTACTCAACAGATTGATTTCTCAATATAATATAAACCAGACTCCTATCTGTTTTGCTGTTGGCATCTGTATTTTCATTGTTTTAGTTAACATCTAAACTAATTGTATCTAATTATAACCAAGAGCCCAATAAATGTTAAAATCCCCTCCCATTCTAGGATTCTATGATTACACTCATGATGATTTAAGCTATAAAATATCTTTATTAAAACTATTAAAACTTTAGAGCTAAGTCTGCAAAATGATATTTTATATTTAGATAGTGACTACTTATAGATAGTTCTAGGACACTATGTCGATTGCCCTAAGCAAAATGAGTGCTAAATACATATCTTTGAATTAAAATATAATGGTCAATTAAGTTGATATCTCAAAATTATTTTATGACTACTAATGTTTTTCTTAAAAAAACACTACTCCTGTAAGTTTGTCTACTCTTCATACAATAAATGTGTTTTAATAATCAGATAGTAAAATAAAGTATTTAAATTATGCTTAATTCTCAATAATAATAGGCATATGACCAATTAATTATTAATCCATGACCATTAGGGATTCCACAAGATCTAGATCTAATATCCAAAAAATAAAATGCATATGAAGATTCTCTAACAGAATAATAGGAGCCTTTACTATGCTTTTTGTATTGTGGAATTGTGCACCTGAAACCTGCATAATTTTGTTAACCAGCGTTACCCAAAATTCACTAAAAATGAAACAAATATATTTTAATTCTTCTCTTGAGCTGTATTACTAGTTTTCATAAGTAATTCATCACATGTGTCTATTCAAATTACAGGGAAACTACATTGTAGTTGCTGTGACTTTATAATCCTCTTTGTAAGAACCAAAGGTTTCTCTTGGTATAGAAAACAGAATTGGTAAATATCTGATCATTTTGTCAAGAGTGAGCAACCAAATTTCAGATGGCATTGTGAAAAACAAAAATTGCTCTTAATTTCAACATTGCTGATTTTTCTTCCCTGTCTTGCAAACATCTAAAATGACATAAGGAAACATTCTAAAGTATTTCCTTATGAAAATATCATTGTGATTAATTTTCTTGTTCTTCCAGTCAATCCCATCCAGACAATGAAAGCAAATTTGTTTTCCACCTGTTTGGATTATCCACATGCAAATTTTTATTACATTTTTACTAGATCCTCCTGCCCACAGACAGGTTTCTTCACACTCTTAGAAAATATCTGAACTTTGGAGTTAAAGAAATCTTAATGATAATTTCATTTAAACCTGCAAGAATCTAAGGTATGTGAAGTTTACTTGACTTCTAAGTTCTGTATAATTACTAAATGGTGTAATCAGGACTAAACCTTGTAAGTTGTATGTTTGTCTGTGCACATGTAGGTTTTATTAAATCTGGCAAGTACTGCCCAGCCAGTGTCGCTCAGTGGTTGAGTGTCAAACTATGAACCAGGAGGTGACAGTTCCATTCCTGGTCAGGGTACGTGCCCAGGTTGTGGGCTGCATCCTCAGTAGGGGGTGTGCAGGAGGTAGCCAATCAATGATTCTTTCTCATCATTGATGTTTCTATCTCTCTCTCCCTCGCCCTTCCTCTCTGAACTCAATAAAAATATTTAAAAAATATTTCTAGCACTACTTTATTTGTTCAAAACTGCTTCCTTTAATTTCAGAATTAAGTCCTAGATTTTACATTCAAGGATTATACCTTTCTGACTTTATAAAATTCTATATCACTTATAAATTAATATAGGTATTATTTTCTGGAACTCCTAGTTTCTGTAAAACTAAGAAAATATTTGTGAAAATCTCTTCGCATTAGAAGCTACCTATTTTTACCCAGTCCTGGTAGTGCATGGTAAATATGGTAGGCCTTTATTTCACATGGGATATTGCCAGTGCAATAGAACTGGAAAGACTAGGTTTGTGTTCAGCCAGAGCAGCCAGAACAGTGTGATCAAAAAGATAATTTGTTATTGTACAAGCAGTTCCATCCTCATTACAACTCATGTGTTCAACCAAGTTCAGAGGCAAGAGTCTAGCTAGTCTCTGTATACTAATTAATAATAATGTCAAAGCCAGGAGAGCAGGTTAGGAGAGAGTTTATAAACCGTTACAAACTTAAGAAATGCTAAAAATAATTGGAAGCCCACTTTTATAATGAAGTAGATATGTGGGGATGGCATATATAAGACAAGATCCTATTGCAAAACAGAGAAAGTGTGTTTTTCAGAAAGTAGTACAGGTGTTTATATTAAAATCTCTCTTTCATATACATATTGTTTTCCATAAATACTATAAAATAATTGACACACAGATTTGATGTGATTATCTTCATTTGAGAAAAATTCTGAATACTATATATGGGTTTTCCATCTTGACTCATGTCAAAAATAAATAGGCATAGGAAACTGAACACCTTACCTTGTCCATAGCTAAAAAAAAAAATAGTTTTTTTTTCCTCAAGAGAAGTGATAACAATTTATGAAAAGTAGTTAAAACTACACACACTGTTAGTAGCTATCATTGACAGATTACAGAACTAATTCAAAATGGTACAGAAAGATCTAAAGCATATGTATGTTTTAAATTTTCAGAATAATATTGTCAAGGTCCATCCATCCATGTTGTTGTAAATATCAGTAATTCATCTTTTCTTATGGCTGAGTAAGAATCTATGGTGGACAAAGAATCTAATATACAGATCATGTAGCATAGAAATGTATGTTTGAAACCTATATGGTTCTTTTAATCAATGTAACCTCAATAATTTTAACAAAAAATAAAATAAAATGTATGTGCAGTAACAGTGGTCGATTAATCAATACACACTCAATTTTTATGAGAAAGAATTTTTGTTTACAGCCAAAAATAAATGCTTGTAGTGGAGCCTTTGTTGCCTTAAGTTTACAAGTATCTCTTTTTATCTGTGGTTATTCTTCTGTATCTGTGAATCTCCCAGGATGAAACCTTTTATATAAGGCCCCATGAACTGAATGTGCCCTTTATACACAGCTTGAGAAAAAGAATCATAAAGCAATTTCAAGTTCTTAGATACAAACATTTGTCAGTTGAACTTGAAATATCACGATGTTAGCTATTAACTATGGAATGAAAAGTGATGTTAAGTGAGGGATGCTGTAGGCTGCCATATGACTAACCTGAAGAGAAATAAGAGATAAAAAAGAGTCATCAGGTGAACCGTATGGGGCAAAATGCGTATGACCCATGGAACCAGAGGACAGATATTTCAAAGAAAGTGAAAGTAATAGACTTTTGATAAAATAGGCTGCATTTGGAAAAACATAATATCACACACACAAAAGAAGAATCTGGTCAAGATTTTGGAAATTTCACAGATAAACGTATTTGTGATTTAAAAGCAATAGGCATAACTTTTGTGATATTCGGTACCTTTTTGTTTATATTTTTGGCCTCTTCTTATTTGACTGATGTTACAGTGAACTAAGCAATACTCATTTCATTGCAATCACCTCTAGTATCATATGCCAAGAACCAAGAAAAATATATAAGGATCTATGGACGATGTTAGTATTCATAATTGTTTATTTTTTATTTTCATGATTTGAAATGAGTGGGCATAAATAAGGGGTAAAGCACAGAGAACACAGGAATTGCTGGTATATAAAACAGCATAAATGAGATTGGTAAGGGGAAGATAGATAAATAGAAAACTTTGGATATCAGAAAGATCATGTCACATAATCTGTGACACAGAGGAAAGGAAAGAGGTTGAATGAATGTTTGCTGAAAATTGAATGCAAGAAGTGTTAAGTATTTTCCATTGCCATTTGCTCCTGATTCCTAATGAGCAGCATCTACAAAGTACTTCAGGTGAATGAGCAACATCATCCTGCTACTAGAATGCTATTAAAGCTTTCTAAAGGTAGTTTCTTTCTTCTACTTCTTTTTTTCTTTTTCCTCAAACCCGTGGGTCTGAATTGTAGGCAGGAAGTTGTTCAGTTTGACTGAGATTAAGAAGTAGAAGCGCCCACTGGGAGTGGCTCAGTGGCTGAGTGTCCATCTATGAACCAGGAGGTGATGGTTCAACTCCCGGTCAGGACACATGCTGGGTGATGGGCTTGATCCCCAGTGTGGGGCATGCAGGAGGCAGCCGATCAATAATTATCTCTCATCATTGATGTTTCTATCTCTCTCTCCCTCTCCCTTCCTCTCTGAAATCAATAAAAATATTTTTTTAAAAAGAAATAGAACCATCTAGAAGTATGAACCAGGAGGTGATGGTTCAACTCCCGGTCAGGACACATGCTGGGTGATGGGCTTGATCCCCAGTGTGGGGCATGCAGGAGGCAGCCGATCAATAATTATCTCTCATCATTGATGTTTCTATCTCTCTCTCCCTCTCCCTTCCTCTCTGAAATCAATAAAAATATTTTTAAAAAAGGAAATAGAACCATCTAGAAGTATTTTTTTTACTTATACATATCATACTACTCTTAATTATAATAAATTATTCATTAGTAGAGACCAACATAATTTAGTAATTTTTGGCATATTATAATTGTACTTTGTATTGCCTCCTATAGCACACTAGTTATTATTTACCATTGACTTTAAATTAAATTTCAAAGAAACTTTTAATCTTTTAGATGCATACACATACAATTAAAATCATACATACCTGATTAATAATGAATCAATTCTACATATAACTAATTTTATTTTGAGACATACTATGAATACTGAGCTACCTGAACAAATTACATTCCTTACCGTACTCTACTGAAATATCATGCATAACTAATTTTATTTTGAGACATACTATGAATACTGACCTACATTGAGCTACCTGAACAAATCACATTCCCTACCGTACTCTACTGAAATATCATTTCTTTTGCACACCGCAATGAGTCAAATATTGTTTGAATAATCATTAGTGATGTCAAAAGCCACTGTAAAATATAAACCACTTTCAGTCTCTATATTATCATATAAAAATTCTTACCTTGCCTACATATTGTGTATCTGTACCTGTGTACTCTTCCAACAAAAAGAACTGATTCCACATCCAGCCACGCTTGGTGCGATGTAGCATTTTACCATCATCTTTTGTCAAACTCATCATCCTTTTGCTTGGTAAATCACTGTTAGATTTTTCTTGTAATGGGATAGCATCAACTGCATAAAACATATAGGTCCAGATGAATAGTGGTAGGCAATGGTAAGTCCTCATTATTTGCGGCTTCAGCAGGATATCAAATTCAATGTACCGTCTATTTCCCCTGAGGAGTAGGGGGAGAAAATGGTTTATTAGGTTGTGTCTCACTTTCAAATGATCTGTAAACTGTAAAATTTTTCTAAATGTTATTTAAATTTTATATATTATTTTCCATGTTACATCAGTGAACTATCCTTAAAAACTTATATAGATAAGTAGGAAGCCATATATATCACAATTAAACTATACAGGAAGTTAATGACTGACTTTAATATAATTATATTGCAGCATATAAATGTGAATATATTTGTAATTTAAAATAATAGATATTTTGAAAAAAATAATCTCTACAATACATCAAAGATCATAGAGACCGTAAGTGTATTATTTATTAAAATATGCATATATATGAATCTATGTACTTTACAGAAAACTGTTTTCTGCCAATAATCTACTACATTTTACTAGCTGTTTCTTCTCTTTCTCCTCCTCTTGTTTTCTTCCACCTCCTCTTGTTCTTCTGTAATAAGTTGAGATGGTGTCTCAAGGCAAATTCAATGATACCAAATATGCTTTGGATTGTGTCTTGCAATACATAGTGCCATACCATGCTGACCTTTACAATTGATAGCTATTATTCCCCCCAACAATCAGTTGAGTGAGTCATTCAAATTTATTTGAGAATGAGTTGAACATACTCTGAATGGAAACATTTTACCTAATAATTTAAAAACAACAACACATTTATTTCCTAACAAGAAAGAAGAGCACACAGATTGGTATTGTGAAACTACGTGTGGGATACCTTGATCCAGTTTTTGAAACAAAGAATGTCTCTCTGTTGCGATAGTAAGTGGAATCTTCTTGAAGTAAAAACAGGAACTCATTTGGTATCTCAATTAATTTTATTTATTAACACATTGGTTTAAATTTATAAGGCATTTAATTTAGTAGATGTGAGATGATAATACTGCTGCTGCTGATGATGATAATGACTTGGTAAGCAATAGAAACCCATCTCAAACTAGGGTAGGCAAAAGAAGAATTAATTGAATTATACAATCACATTAAGTGTGGAAAGGAAAGAATGAAAGAGGTAAAGAGCTACTGGGCATCTCCTGCTCATGAAAACTAGAATCAGGGTGGGGGGTGGGGGTTGAGTACTTGAGTACTATGCTCAGTCTCTGATTCTGTCTCTCTTTTCTTTCTTGCTTTGAACCAAGCTTTCTCAATCTGATGAAATTTGGAATTTATGGAGTTCAGATTTAATATGTTCCAATCCAGAAAGCAACCAATAGTTATTTCTGACTTGTTTGAAAAGTCCTGGTAATGGATTCAGATTTACCTGGCTTAGCCCAAATGCTCAATGCTGGAACATCCTAGATAGTAAAAGGCTAATATGCAAATCGACTTAACGGCAGAACGACCGGTCGCCATGACACACACTGACCACCAGGGGGCAGATGCTCAATGCAGGAGCTGCCCCCTGGTGGTCAGTGCGGTCCCACAGGAGGAGCACCGCTCAGCCAGAAGCCAGGCTCACAGGCTGAGGGACCCCCCTGAGTGCATGAATTTTGTGCACCGGACCTCTAGTACACCTATAATTCAATTGCATTTATCAAGGCATAAAGACCAAATATAAACTTCTAGCATGGCTTATTCCTAATTATCTCTGGGACTTTGGGATATTTACCCACATTACTAGGACTTAACTACTCTTTCTATCAAAGGAATATAATTAATACCTGATTCCCAAGTTATCATTAATATTTTGTTGAACTTTTAATAGTCATTTGCAGTACAAGGACTTATTTTTACAACAGCATATACCTATGAAGATACTGAAACATTAAGAATATAAGTAATTTGATAAAAATCTTATAGGAAATAAGTGTCAGAACTAGTTTTAGAATCAAGGCCTTAAACAGCATTTTTTAGATAATATAGGTAAAGAAGTTAACACAGTGCTAGTATACGAATTCTTAAGATGTTAATATCATCATCAAACATGGTTGCTCCCACTGTGTGTGTATATGTGTGTGTGTGTATGTGTGTGTGTGTGTGTGTGTGTATACAGTATTCTATATAATCCTCTATAACAAAGAGCTAATATGCTAATTAGACCGGACAGCAGAACAACCTTCCAAATGACCTTCTGGAATGACCAGTGGGTGGGGGCAGGGCAGTGGGGCCGTGAGGGCAGTGATTTCTTCTCACTGAGAGATTCCTTTGGCCATTGTCTTTTCTGATAACCCTTGCCAGAGAAATTGGAGAGCATTCTTTATTTCCTGAGGTCTGTTCTAACTACGATGCCCACTTTGGATAGAATGTAAGCCTTTAAGCAAAAAAGTCCAATTGTATTAGATGGAGCCAGTGACTTCTGCAGCGGCTAGGATCCCATAGTCCTTAAAGCTAGAATACAATATTGCATTCATTTTCAGTGCATTGGAAAGCATTTGGAATATTTTAACATGGCATGTTTATAAAAGGTTAATCCGGCTGCAGAGTTGAAATAAGTTAGAGGGTAGGAAAGCATTTGGTTAAAGGGAGATCAGATAGAATCTATCACTCTAGTCCAGTAGGAGATGACAATGGCATATAGAGAAACGGTTTGAGGTGGAAAGTGATACTCTGTTGAGGTTCCCTTAGCTATTTTAATATGCCCACAGAAAGGCACGTGCGCACATATATACACACACCCACACCATACACTCCAGTTTTTGTATGGTTTTGCTTCTTCTAATGGCTTGCACCTGCAGTTCTCTTTGGAGAACCTCCTTTGGCTATTGGAGCCACTTTGCCCACATGCAGAGGGAGCTTAAAGTGCCTACAACTTGACAATTATCTCCAACAGAATCCCTGAGCCATTGTCTAACAGGTGCAGAAACATGAAAACCTACATGTGCTATACATCCCAGAGCTCCCCTGCAGAATCATGCTGGGGTTGGAACTTTGACTAACATTAGACCTTATTTTGATTATACCCTGTCTTGTTTTCCCCCCACTCTTTCCCTAACTTCCTGGTCTGGAAGTAATGTTTTAGCTAATCACTTGCACACAAATCCTCACCTCAGTGTTTGTTTCTGGAGAACAAGACCTAAGACATAGATAAAAATCTGTATATTTACAAGATAAAATACTACCATCTCATGTATTGATCATTATAGCAGTGGAAAAATAAGAAATATAATTTTTAGATTTTTAATTTGTGAACTGAGCCATTCATTGAGTGGAAAAGCAGTTGTGTTAGAAAAATAAAGAATTAAGTTTTTTGTTATTTTTATTCAAAATAAATAAATAATTTTTATACTACTATTGCTAACAACATTTTGGTATAATTAATAATAGGAAGGAAAAAATCACTATTCTACTGATTTTACATCATTTAATTTATATATTTATTAAAGGCCCGGTGCACGAAATTTGTGCACTGGGGGGGGGGGGGTCCCTCAGCCCGGCCTGCACCCTCTTGCAGTCCGGAAGCCCTCGGGGGATGTCCAACTGATGGCTTAGGCCCACCAGCCATGAGCCCGGGTCAGGGCTTCTGGCTGAGTGGAACTCCCCCTGTGGGAATGTACTGAACACCGGGTGCAGCTCCTGTGTAGAGTGTCTTCCCCCTGGTGGACAGTGTGTGTCATAGCAAACGGTCATTCCGCTGTTCGGTCAATTTGCATATTAGCCTTTTATTATATAGGCTGATAGCCTTTTAAAGTAGAGTCTTCTATATTTCCTCATATTCTTTTTTTAACATATTTTTATTGATTTCAAAGAAGAAGGGAGAGGGGGAAAGAGATAGAAACATTAATGATGAGAGATAATCACTGATTGGCTGCTTCCCACAAGCCCCCTACTGAGAATTAGGTTTGTAACCCTGGCATGTGCCCTTGATCAGAGTCGAACCTGGGACCCTTTAAGTCTGCATGCTGACACTCTATCCACTGAACCAAACCAGCTAGGACAACTCCTCCTCATACTCTTATGAGGAAACTGAGATACAAAGAGGTTCAATGATTGCCCATATAGAAGAACTGAGAATTAAATCTTGGTATGCCATTGCACTTGGGCTTACCCTTCTAACTTCTATGATGCTGGATGCTGGCAACCAACATTTATTCTAACTTGCCTTCTGTATTCTAGGCAATTTGCTGACTCTTTCCTCAAACAATTTTATTTAACTTTCAGCTCAGTAATATTACAAAGAGGGAATGGCCATGTTAGAGGATTAAATTAAGGCTTTTCTTGTTGAAGTAACTTACTAATATCACAAGGTGGTAGGCACCTTTGGAAAGAAGAAGGAACTGAGGATTTGAATTCTGTATTACTGATGACAATGCTTGTAGTAATTATACTGCTGCTAAGTAACATTGCTCCATAGGCGCTCACCTAGAGGCCTTTTTTATGGGCTTCAAATGCTTGCCCAGTTCAAGGTCTTTGTCTTGACTCATAATCTCGCCTGCAACTATCTATGTGGGTCATCCATAGCCATCTTTTTCTCATTATATTCAGTCTCTATATAATATTCTGCTTTTTGGAGAAGTCTTCTAAACAACTTTTTCAAAAATAGCTTACCCCATTTCAGTCATACCATAGATTTATTTTCTTTACCCCATTTCAGTCATACCATAGATTTATTTTCTTTATTTTCTTTATATTTTCTTTATTTTCTTTACCATAGATTTATAGCTTACCCCATTTCAGTCATACCATAGATTTATTTTCTTTATCATGATTTTAATTCTTTCATTTAGTAGGTTATAAATTTATTGACTCATTCCCCTTGTTATAATGTAACTTCTATGGTGGTGAGATATTTTGTAAATGTTCGTGTCCTGTATAGAACAGTTATTAACATTCAGTAGGTACTTAACATGTATTTGTAAAATTAATTGGTTAGTGATTCATGCATAAAATGGATAATCCCCAACTTGAGCCTAAGATCACATACATTGATTTAATATTCTATTCCATAAACAGTTGATAGAGATATGGAAAGAGTTGAATTGGAGGAGATGTGCCTTTTAAAAGAATGCGCCTATTAACAAATGTCACCCTAATAAATTTAAT